TTTTAATGCCTTGAAACCCACATATACTCTTTTACTAACAAATGGTATCCTAAATTCTAACCCAAATTCCCAAAAAAAGGCTTTATAATTTTCATACTAAAATAGAAAAAATTTCGGTTTAATCCGATTTTTCGTTTTAATCTGTCACAGTAAATACTCACTACTTACCAAAGTTTTTCTTATTTATTAACATATTAATACGGTTTTGACATTTTCACACCACTCAGTCGCGAACGCGCTGAATAGTTTTTCGCCGCGAACGCTTTGCAGCTTATGTATAAAAAAAAAACGAGCAGTTTCATTGAGAAAAATTTTATTGAAAAAAATTTATTGGGAAAACAAAGTTTGCACTTGTGGACGCGCGCAGGTATTAGTACTCACACTTGTTTCAAAATATCACCGTTTGCTAACGTAACTGTTTGATGTCATGCATAGAGCCTTTAGGTTTGGCTTTCGTCGTGGTCTTGTCCGCGAAAAGTTTGTGTTTGAGAAGATAACGCGATGGCTCACTGAAATTGCCAGTATTTATATAGAAAAAGTTTCTAATTTTATTTCATCGATAATTAGTTAAAATCATAACCAAATTCACTATTCTCAGTGCAGCAACGTCTAGTCGTTCCATAGATTGATCAAAAATGCGTAATTGCTCTTTCTCTTCTGGAGTCATTAAGTGCACAGTAGAACGCAATCTTGCGATAGCTCTTCGCTCAATAAGTCGGGCATAGCCTTCTTTTTCGCACATTCTCCGCTCATGTATATTACCAAGGGTACGATATAAACATGTGAGAATTTTTTGATAGCATCTTTCTGGCTCAGCATACCAGAGATAATAGGTTCGCGATGGAGCCCGGTCCGCTGCTTTGGGTACCTCCTGGTTGACGGTCAATATAGCACATGTAAGAAGCTTATAACGTTGAAGTGCGAGTCGAAAGTAAAGGATATACGAGTCGTAAATATGGACTAATCGGATCTATAACTCACCTGTAGCTCCACAAGTCCTTCGACAAAAAGCTGGTCAATAATTTTACGGGCGTCAGCTTGCGTCAGCATTGCCAGCGAAGCAATCTATCGAACACATATTTGTCCCATAAGTTGTTGTAACCACACAAGCATGTTCGTTCGGTTTATAAACACTTACATTTTTTTCTTCTAGTTTACCCTTTGATTGTAGGATCTTGTATATTCTGACAGCCATGCTCCCATACTTCTCTTGCAATATGCTTTCTAATTTCCTTTGTTTTAATCTTTCGATTAGATCCTTGTATCTTACAGAATATAACCCGCTCATACTATCGTCTTTCTTTCGGATAAACTTTGCACCGTCCTCTACCAAAAGATCGAGGTATTCACTCACGAGATATTCATGGGATGGATCTTGCCTCTCTAGCTCTATTTGATCTTCCAAAGTATCTTCTGTTGGGACTTTTCTTATTATTGTCTGGGCCGACATCGCCCTAGACTCTTCTGCATCTAGGCGTTTTTCATCAGCAAGTTCGAGGATAACCTTCATTACTAGCTTTGCTGCCGGATTTATTCTTTCCTCTACAAATGATGTGATATGATCATTACGCGCCAGTATATTAAATCTTTCGTAGTTAACGCGAACTTGCGCATCTTCAACAAATTCGAAAGTATCTTCTGTTCTCGGTTGCTTGCTTAGACGTGAATGGTCCTCCTCCACTACAGTCTTTTTTCGTTTCTTTCCGACTAGTGATTCAGCGTTGCCGCGCTCAGCAACTTTCGCCCGAGCTTCTGCTTTTTCCTTTTTGGTGGGAACAAACGTGGTCATTTTTGCCAACTCTCGCTGCTCTGCTGCATCTTGCTGGTCTTGTGCAGAAAGTGCATCGGTATATTTCAAGTATTTTAGATAACCTTCGGTCACAAGCTCTGCATACTTTTCTTTAAGTGTTTTATACTCTTAAAGAAAAAGACTGTTAAGATAATGATATATCTATACAGTAGGGAAACGACTAATGCGCATCTACAACAAGATTTTGGAGACAATGCATACCTTTCGTTCGTTTTGACAAATTTCGCGCTTCTACAAGGCTCTTGAAAGATGTTTTTCCGTTTAGAAGAACGTAGGTTATTATAACTTGGCCCTGAATGAGAGTCTCAGTAAGCTCAGTGTTATTATTAGCACAATTCAATCGCACCGGTTGCATACTTCATTTCCAAACCGATTTCTGGTGTGGTTGAGATAGACACCAAATTTTAGCCGTGACAGCACCTCCCTACTGTCGATCTGATAGTAGATAGGTGATTTTATCTGATCTGGTACCTCGCGTGCCCAATATACAAGATTGTGCTGTATTAGTATAAACAAGCATTCCTTGACTTTCTCCAATGGAAGACCGCTATATCTTGCTATTAAAGCTGCTGGAAGGCGACCTTTCTCAAAGAGGAGCTTTGCCGGTTTCTTTTGTAGAAAAAAAGCTTTAATGTTAAAAGTGAAATACGGGCATGGGAAATAGTCTGAGCGCAGGATAAGCACCTCAACGAGATCCCCAAAGTCTTCGCGAATTACAAAGCAGCATAGTCTTTTTAGCTCGTTGGCCATTTATCGCTGAATTGGAAGCAATCTTTTTGGTTTTGTAATACAGTCAACCCATGTCCTTGGGAATCAAATTTTATTGGCTCGACATAGTTTGCTACGTTGCAGAAATGAACGAAATGAACGAAGAGTTTCTAAATCATTTGCAGCAGTGGCTTGCTGACATCATAGTACGAATTCACACGAAACATTGACTGTATTCCTAAAGTTCCTAAAGCAAGCACCCCGCTCATGTATGGTAATCAATTACAAAACATCTATAAAGGATGTCTGTCTTGTTCGGTCAGCATTTGTGTAATATTGTTAATAGTAATATTGTCATTACTGTCCCTCCTACGGCCTTCTATAAGCAAATAAGCTACAGAATCGGATAATTATCTATTGTATTGGTTAACATATTCGATCGTAACGACACTGATCGCCACTTTGTTGGGGAATATAGAGATTATCGTTATCGCGCAAAAGGAGATATTGAAGCAAGCACTAAACTAAAACAGGGTGTTTCGTACTAAAGTGCTAACTGTGTAACCAATGTAACCAAGATGGTATTTAAACAGACGCCCCCAGAAAATAAGAAGGGCAAATCCTCGCGGATATTAACATCAAAAATGTCAACCTTATCTGTAACCCAACTCTTGAATAAAGTGGAAGAAAAAAACATCCACACGTCACTATTATGGGGTTTTGAAAGATGCGTTCATGGCAGGTTCGCTTAGTTACAAACTTATTCCTTGAACGTCTTGTTTAAAACTTTATTAACATGGTTTTCGAACATTTGTTCATATTGTAAGACATCGCCCTGAAAGCTGGGGGCATGAATTGCTAAACTCGCCACGAGCGCATAATTATAACTTTGCGCAGTCCGCCACAGCATATAATATGGAGATTTTTTTATGGATATTTCTTCATAAAACTTTAACGTGTGGTTTTGAAGATTTCTTCATACATCAGTAGTATGGAGATTTCTTCATACATCACTTATATGGAGATCTCTTCATACATCATTTATATGGAGATTTCTTCATACTACTTATAAAGTAGTAAATTTTAATTTTCTTAATTTATCAGCATCGTCACCGTCGGCAACAGTGTCTTCGGCATCCACATTATTATGAACGAGAAGTTCTCTTTATAGTCAGACTAATAATGTTTATATTAATTAATATAAACAATAGACTTTCTCTCATGTTATCATTACTAAAAGTTCTTTTTCACCGTTACTCCATGTATTCGCAATTTATCTAATAAAACGCGATTGTTTACAAAATTTGTCATCTAAAATGTTATAATAGTCTCGTTCCAATTTATAATGACAAAACAGGGAATCAAGAATACAAAACAGTTTGTCATTTACAGTAACGCCATGTTCTGCAACTGCGGATTAGTCTTAGTAATTATATAATGTTGATTGGCCGCATCTTATCAACCAGAATTTATTTCAAAACGCGCTCTAATCCCCACACCCGAAAGTCGTGTCGACAGTGATTATTCGAATTTATAGCAATACCATATTCAATAGTAATAGTGATTTTATTCCATATTAAAGTTCTAAAGGCTATTCTATACGCCCTACGATTCACCAAAAACTTTCTGTGCGATTACAGCTTTCAAATGTTCAAGGCTTGTCTAGCCCAAGGAGGTCTCTTAAAGCGTATGCTTGAAGCAATCAAAGAACTCGTCTCTGATGCAAACTTTGACTGTTCCGAGACAGGCATAGCCCTTCAAGCTATGGACAACTCTCATGTTGCCTTGGTGTCGTTACTTCTCAAAGCCGAGGCATTCGATCCATATATATGCGCTAGAGGTTTTAGCTTAGGTGTAAATTTAAACAGTCTGAATAAGATACTAAGATGCGCCGGAAATGACGACACAATCACGTTGCAAGCAGAAGACGAGTCTGCAGATTCTTTAACTTTGGTCTTTGACAGTCCAAGTAAGAATTTGAAACCAGCATCTTGATATCAACGACTTGGCTTAGTATTTTATCAACTGTCTCGATGCAACTCTAAATCGTATCTGTCTTTGTAGATCAGGAACGCATTAGTGAATATGAACTAAAGCTGATGGACATAGATCAAGAAAATCTTCACATTCCTGATACGGACTACGATGCAAAGGTTCATATGTCGTCTGCTGAATTCCAACGCATTACGCGTGACTTGTCAACTGTTAGCGAAGCAGGTGTGTTGGGGCGTTTTAGGCGCTGACGAGATCGCGTTATTCCTATTAACGTTGGTACTCATCTATTATTTTGTTAGTTACCATTTCTGTGACAAAAGAAGGAATCAGATTTGTAGCTAGTGGAGAAGTAGGCTCCGGAAGTATTACTTTGAAAAAAGGATCATCCGTCGACTCGGTAAGCGCGCATTTCAGTTTCGAATTTCCTATCACATTATACTGTTCTAATACGCTATCACCTCCTTTATTCTTGCCAACCTTGATTCATTTCCAGAACATCTCAACAACAATCGAACTCTCGCAGCCAGTTTCTTTAGATTTCTCCCTCAAATACCTTGCTAACTTTGCTAAAGCTGCTCCGTTATCGGATGTAGTTTCATTGTCAATATCAGAAAATCTACCCTTGTTGGTAGAATATGAAATGGAAAGTGTTGGATTTATTAGATATTATTTGGCTCCAAAGATTAACGAGGAGTGATTGGAGGAACGTTGCGTGTGAAGGCGAGACTTGGAATTGAAAGAGGAAGCGTAATCGCTTGAAGACAGGGGGGAAAAAAAGACATGCAAACTCTAAAGCATGGATGAGCAAAGGGAACAAATCAAAGTGCGACTTGTTCAGCTTTAGTGTTCATATTGGCGACAAAAGCTATGCTACTATATAAAGACACAAAAACAATAAACAAGTAATATATATGTATAATTGGAAATACATTCAAATGGTTACATAATCAGTGACATCGACTTTTCCTTCTTTGTCTCGACTACCGCATCCCTACCCTTCTACTTTATCTCTGCAGTCTCCCTTTGCAACCATTGTAACGCTTTGCTCCCTTCTTTCAATAGCGGCCCAACTTTGTCCAAGCACTCCTTGTTATACTTATTGACCCACTCCACCTCACTCGGTGCGAGTAAACTCTTTTCAATAAGTTTGGTCTGGATAGGAACCATGGTCACGTGTTCAAATTTGAGATAGCCACGGTCACCAAAATTGTTTGGAGGATTGGCATCGCGAACTAAAAGAACATTTTCGATGCGAATGCCGAAATTGTTATCTTCATAATATCCAGGTTCGTTAGTTACAGTCATCCCCGACTGAAGTGGAGCGTCGTTAAAGGCTATGCGGGTTCCTATGCCATGCGGACCTGCACAAGCAAGAATTGAGGATCAACTGTAAGGAGGGGAGGGGGAATACAACAACTACCTATTTATTTCAATAATGACCCGCAACATACCTTCATGTACATTCAAAAACGAGCCGACACCGTGTCCAGTTCCATGCCTATAATCTAAACCATCCTGCCATGACGGAGTTCTCGCGAGCACATCCAGGGTGAATCCTGTCGTACCTTTTGGAAACACTACACAATCAATAGCAATGTGACCTTGTAATACACGCGTGAATGCTCGACGCTCCCCTTCGGTTGGTGTTCCAAAATGGACTGTTCTTGTAATATCCGTCGTTCCATCCCTAGGCAAGAACAATGCGATGCCAAGAGGAAAATAATTATAAGAGGATTGTTGGAAGTCGATGGCAAGCCACACACAAAAGAAAAGAAATTTGATTCTTTACTTATATTGCCCGCCAGAATCACACAGATAAAGCAGTTTGGGATTAATGACAGCACAAGTTTCGAGTTTCGGTTGGTAATGAATGATAGCGCCATTCGGACCGGAAGCCGAAATTGTATCGAATGAAAGCCCGACATAGTCTGTTTTCTCTCTACAATTGAAAAGATAGTTGTAGAACAAGCATTTGACACAGTATAACTAATTTTATAGTTATATTTCATTACTTACGCTCGTAATTTCTCAAGCACGTCGGCGCCCTCCACCTCATTAATAGTCTTTCCAGCTGCAAGTTCTTCCTCTAACCATGCGAAATATTGGATCTTTGAAAGTCAAACGAACGATAAAAGCTTAGCACGCAACATTAGACACGTGACGCGACTCCCCCATCCAAAAATATCTTACTACTGCCGCGGCATCCCTCAGATGACATTGTCTCATTCCCTCCAGTTCAATTTCGTTTTTAATAGCTTTCGCGTCTGTTATTGGAGATCTTGCATCTTCGACATTCTTTGAATTGTTAGAATCAATTAAACTGGATGTGAATTTTAACAAGAATTGCTGAGAGCGAATTAACCTACATCTCCAACTGCGTTGGCTAAAGCCAAACTAGCACGACTTGAAATCAACAGGTTCTGAAAAAAAAGGAATCCTTTTTTTGAGTGATCAGTTCCATGGAACACACGCGATTTCACTACGAGCCTTAAACCATCCTTAATGAATCAAAGTGCAAATCAATTATTTCCTCTTTCCTTGTAATCTCTCATACCTGCTTGTCTTCCTTTAAACTAGTCCTCAAATTTTTCAAATCATCAAATATTGTGTCATAAGGGCTGACCTCAACTTCATTTCCCAAGTGTTCTCGTACGTTTTGGGTAAGTTTCTCGGGTGAAATGTACAGCTTAATAGATGTTTTCGTTACCAAAGCATATGAAAAAAACACGGGGTTGTATGGAATATCCGACCCACGAAGATTAAATAGCCCTAGCGGGGGAAGAGAAAGAGATAATAAGCCAAGACATGAGGGTTGAAACGCGACTGTGCAAAGCAAAGTGCTTACAAGCAATTTCGTCTAATCCAGACACAGCGAACCCGTAATAATTCTTCTTTTCAAGTTCTTCACGAAGACTTTTGACTTTTTCGCTACTCGAACGGCCTGATATTAAACAACTGACATAAATCAGATGTGTTTAACGCCTCCATTTACAAATCCCATTATATCTCATTCTCTCAAACAGTAAGCTGATAGTGTTTCGCACATTTTCCCTTTCCTCTACTTCTTCGGACATTCCTACCTGCGTATTTCTCTTCTAGCACAAAAACTTGATTTTTTGGCGTCGGTGGACGCTCATTACCCCAAACTATGTCGACCAAGTTCGTCTCTGTTGGCACAAGAGTAGAGCCAACTTTTTCAAATGATTTTGCCAATGTCTTCGCGTCAGCTATCGACGAATGCGGGAAAAACGCGAAATTTTTAATTTTCCGTTTTGTATGCTTTGTAGTTTGCTATACATTTTCATTAGTTACTCACCAATCGTGATTAGCTTTGGATCTACTCCAATTCTCAAATTTTCTGGCAGATTCTAATTACAAATAAAGAATCAACCTTTCATTAGACTCAAACCAGCCCATCAAACATACTCCTCATTATCTAGTATCATGATATAATTACGTGTCTCAAGACTCTACGCTGTTTACACATTAGTCTCAGATATCTACCCCGACCAGGCATACCTTAACAAGATACTCTTGCCATGTAGGCACATCGGGTAGTCCTTGTTTCATAAGTGTCCAGTTCTGGTCCAATTGTTGGCTTGCTTGCAGGAAATACCTTCCATCTGTAAATAAAGCAGCTTTGTCCTCGATTACAATTGCTAGGCCTAAACATTTTCAAAGTAAACCGTGTTAAATTAAAAGCAAAGTACCGAAACTAAATTTAGAGATTAAGGACAAGGCGACTACCAGCAGATCCAGTAAAGCCAGAGATGAATGCTCGACGTGCATCACATGGCGCAATGTATTCGCTCTAGAAATGAGATATATAATCTATTAACAAAAGTGATTGATTTCTAAGCACTTGGGGATTGTAGGCAACTCACCTGGTGAGCATCTTCTGAGGGAATGATACTATGTACAAATATGCCATCAAAAAAAATAAATAATTTTGATAAACTGATCCGATTTTTACGTATATCCGCGATTTCTTCATTTACACTTACTATGCATTCAATTTGTATTTATCCTGTTTAAAGAGTTCTCGCAACTTTGCAAGCCGCGCAGTCGTATCGACGGCAGAAAACTTATCAGCGCCCATGTTCTTTATCCGCAAAGATATTTGGGATTGAAGATAACGACGAGGAATACAAAACCTAGAGGCGTGTGATAAGATGGGGCATGCTACAACAAAACCAGCCAAAATGAACATAATGCCAATTTTTCAGGGGGTCAAACATCACCGATTTGTCCTACCCTGCATTTATAATACTGGGCCGCGTTCCCATCGATGCGTTTTTCCCAGGGCAACAAAAATATTCATTTACGGGCTTTCAAAAGAAAACAATTATGAGAACTGATCTGATTCCTACTTTAGTTAGTTCTCGACTCGTCAGTTACGTATTCCACAGATTACTTCTCGCATAGTACCACTCCACTAGTCTGCATGATATAGCAATAGCATTGAATTTGTCAATATTAAACCGCTCTCTCTATTATTATGATCGTGGTAACAGAACAACCATTAATTTTACTCGAACATACTACGAGCGACGGGCAATACGCTGGCGGTCGTTCCGCGAGTGGAGCAATACGCGCATTCGCGCTGTCAAATGTAATATTTATCTTACGAGCAGTTCCCAAATTTTTATTGTGCGCGTGCAACGTTTAATATCGTGGGCCCAATGAAAAGGCGATTTACATACTCATAATAATATAACACCACTATCCGGTTTGTAAAATAGCACTGCACTGGTACTTTATTTAGTCGGCAAACGTTCAGTTTTCTTCTTATCGATTAATAAAGATTCGAAACTCAGTTTGCTTCTTCCTTCCTGAGCATGTTAAATAAATAATCAGCATCCTCCAATTCTACATAGCAAAGAATCTTTCATCTGTGCCCTCATAAAACTATACTATTTTTAATAAAACTGGTCATTGCTTGTCCATTAACATAACGTCACCTATTGTAAAATGTTATCGAACTATACTTTTAAATGGGCAACATGAAACAAATTACTTTTCCAAATTTATTTGTCAGTCTAAACAAATTTTATTTACAAATACGTTGTGTATGTCT